TCCATGCTCATGTTCATGTCCATGTCCATGTCCATGCTCATGTTCATGTCCATGTCCATGTCCATGTTCATGTCCATGTCCATGTCCATGTTCATGTCCATGTCCATGTTCATGTCCATGTTCATGTTCATGTCCATGTTCATGTCCATGTTCATGTCCATGTTCATGTTCATGTCCATGTTCATGTCCATGTTCATGTTCATGTTCATGTCCATGTTCATCATCATCCTTATCACTATTACAGGTTATATATGTTCTAACACAAGATCCACATTCATCATCCAATTATAAAGTAATAGTAGGATAGCATCCATATCATTATGATATTCTAGAGTATATCATCGAATATATTATACATACCTCCCCCTCCTAGAGATACAAAATATCCATCTATAATAGCATTATGGTATATTAATGTACTTCGAAGGCATTTACCTATAAGGTAATAATAACAACAACAACATGTACTACTACTACTACCAGTCTCAATATACATTCGTGTTGTTAGTTCCCAACATAGTATAGTAATCCATTCGGGTCCAAAAGGCTTCAATGAAGCATTAATAGATCCTTTAAGTAAACTGAACTATACTCAACATAATGGTCGTAGGATATGTTTAGACCCTTTATGACAACCATGATTATCATCATCATCATTATCTGCTGTATATATATAATATTGTGTTAGTATCACACGTAGTATCAAATATTATTATTATTCTAATGATGAGTAGTAAGGCAAGGATGTTGCTGATAGTACTGGTATATACTATGATAATATTGTTGTATCTATGGTACTCTCATGAATTACGAGGAGAGAAACGAGCGGTAGAGACCGACGAGTTATAAAGAGGCATCTAAGTGTTATCAATGTCCCTATTGGTTGAGAAGCATGGTATGCTGTATATACAGTACACAGAAGGTCTGCGGATACAGTCCTCCACAAGGAATATAATATTGATTCTTTCATAACTACAAAGGCTTTCGACGACGACCAACTTCTCCTCCTGCTACTGCTACTACTTCTTCTTCTAAATGATAATAAGCATAAACGGCATATACACTCCAGAGTAATTATCACCGTTTCATGACTGTTTATTCAAGTAAAAGTGAGAGTAAAAATTAGATGCGCAGAATCTGCCACATTGTTTTGGAATATCTTCAATGTTAGTGGGATGACAACTGAGACTTATTCGGTATTGATTGCCATCCCGAAGTCCGAGATGGGCGGCCGCCATCCCGAAGTCCGAGATGGGCGGCCATCCCGAAGTCCGAGATGGGCGGCCATCCCGAAGTCCGAGATGGGCGGCCGCCATCCCGAAGTCCGAGATGGGCGGCCGCCATCCCGAAGTCCGAGATGGGCGGCCATCCCGAAGTCCGAGATGGGCGGCCATCCCGAAGTCCGAGATGGGCGGCCATCCCGAAGTCCGAGATGGGCGGCCATCCCGAAGTCCGAGATGGGCGGCCATCCCGAAGTCCGAGATGGGCGGCCGCCATCCCGAAGTCCGAGATGGGCGGCCATCCCGAAGTCCGAGATGGGCGGCCATCCCGAAGTCCGAGATGGGCGGCCATCCCGAAGTCCGAGATGGGCGGCCATCCCGAAGTCCGAGTTGGCTTCATCATAATGTGGTGTGCTATAGTAGTAGGGAGGCAAAAGTTATGCTTCAACACCACCACCACTACGGTTAATGACTAAGCTCTAATTGCTACTATCATGGCAACTGATTTACCATGGATAAATAACGAAGAACTGGACTGATTCTACAGTACACATCATCAGCTAGATGAGGATGATGATATATTCTATGCTTAACTGGAGCATGCCAGAGGAGCAGCAATACATGTGGTCTTTGATGATGATGATGATAGTCATCTGATATAGTACTATTACCTAAGGAATCCCAAGTCATCTCTATGAATGTTCTCATCGTCTACTATTATCTTTACACAGATAAGGGTCAGTCATACAATTACTATGCCATTA